AATAACAGGACAGACCAGGTTCTTGGATGGCAACTGGTCTACCGCAGAAAGAAATGGCAACCTACTGCGGGGAAAAAAAATCTGCCTCATCAGTCATGTATCAAAAGATACATGATTGCCTAAGCATGTATCACACATGGTACTTAACTGACTAAAGGCATAAAGATTATATAAGTGCCCAAGCAGTAAGGGGAGGGTCAGAATATGATATGTGAGATTAATTACTACTGCTGAACTGATAAAATACAAATTAAATCATATTTCATAACAAACTCCTCATCTCAAATATTCACATTAAAAAGGGAAGAAATTACAATGTTCAATAACCAGGATCTACAAATGCATCATTGTTTCAAGATTAAAAATTATTCCTTTGACCTTCATTCACTTACTCTTCTTCTCTCCCCCCCCCCAGCTATGGAGGGAGAAGAAAAGGATTCCTGTATCAAAAGATACATGATCACCTAAGCTAAGGAGAGAATTGTTAAAAATAATGGAGACTATTTACTTTATTTACTGAAGAGACTTGGATTCAAAAAAAAAATCAAAGATGTCATTTTCCACCATGATAATGCAAGTCCACATGTTGCAAAATGGACCTAGCAAAAGCTTAAAGAGTTGAAATGGGACCCCACCCTCCAGCACCACCCACCATATTCCCCTGATTTGGCTCCTTTGGATTTTAATTTGTTCTGGTCTCTACAGAACAATTTAAATGACAAAAAATGACTCTGTACTGTGCAGGAGGCACGGTGGAGTAACGGATAGTGGCTCTGATTGAGGACTCTGAGAGCCAAGTTTGAATTCCAATCAAATCCATTACATTCACTTACATGCTAATACCCTTGGGAAATATATGAATCCTCCTCTTTTCCCTCCAGCTATGGGTAAATAGCAGGACAGACTGGCTTCTATAGCCTTGGATGGTCAGAAAAAAATGGCAACCTACTTTTTTGGGGAGGGGGGAATCTGCCTCATCAATCACGTATTGAAAGATACATGATTGCCTAACCATGTTTCCCACATGGTACTTAACTGACTGAAGGCATAAAGACTATATAAGCGCTAAAGCAGTAAGGGGAGGGTCAGAATATGATATGTGAGATTAATTACTACTGCTGAACTGATAAAATACAAATTAAATCATAATTCATAACAAACTCTTCATCCCAAATATTCACATTACAAAGGGAAGAAATTGCTATGTTCAATATTTGGGAACTACAAATTCATCATTGTTTCACGATTAAATAATTATTCCCTTGATATAACTGGACAATAATAAATAAAAGCCTTTAAAATACATCCATTATTATATTCTAGCATCTCATTCATAGAGTCTGGTTCAAAAGAATTTATTGCAATTGGTCCTGTGCACATAATTTTGACCAAATCAGTACTGATCTTTGAAAAAGCTAAAATATTGTTTCTATAGTTTTTATTTAAGCTCCAAAATATCTTTGTAAAAAAGTTATTATTTTAAACATGTACAGAAGTCTAACTCACCATACACTCAAGAAAAATAGACTGGTCCTGTACTACTTGTCCATATTTGATTGTCCCAATACAGACATTTAATATTTAATTACATTTATACTATTCCATAACTTCAATTTTATTTATAGTCCTATTCCATGTTTCTTTGTATCTACAGAAATGTTTCATGTTCAAGTGTACCTTTTAACATTTCATTATATCTCGAATACTTTTCACATTTGAGTGTACCTAAAGTACCTTTTCACATTTCATTATATCTAGTGTATCTTTTCAAATTTCATTATATCAAGAGTACCTATTCATATCGAGAATAGCTTCTAAATTTTCATTATAGTTAGAGTACCTTTTCAAATTTCATTATATTGGGAGTATCTTTTTGCAATTCATTATATATAGAGTATCATTTTATCATTTGATATTTTATTGTACCTAGAGTAGCTTCTAACATTTTATTATATCTAGAGTAACTTTTTGCATTTTATCATATCAAGAGTATCTTTTCACATTTCATTATATCAAGAGTACCATAGGTAATAGAGTAGCATCTAAAATTTCATTATATTTAGAGTATCTTTTCACATTTCATTATATATAGTGTACCTTTTTACATTTGATTGTAAAAAGTGTTCCAATAACTTGGACCAATTTTAAATGTGAATTAAGTTTAAGCATCTAATGATTGTTTTTTCTTTCAGATTTAACAACTTTAGTCTTTGGCAATTTCAACCATGGAAAGATTAACAATCAAACAACGTGTTAAAGTTTCAAGAGTGCAATTGAAAAAATTGTTTGCAAATTCAAACAAACTGTGTTGGTGGCAGATGTGAAAGCACCACTGTGTGGTCATTTATGCTGTTCAGCTGAAAACACTGCTGCAGTGCACAAGAATGTGGCTGAAAATCCAGACCCCCTCTATTCATCATCGTGTGCAGGAATTGAAACTCTCCACAACAATGTTACATTGTTTCCAATTGCACTCTCGGTTGGTTGACCAAAATATTCGCAAAGTGCATGAAATGCATTTCTGTTTGAACATCCATTTTCATAACAGGCTTTGATAACTTTCTTGTTTGAATCTTCCATTTTTGCCAAAAACTTAAGTTGTTAAATCTGAAAAGAAAAAGAAAAAAAATCATTAGACATAAACTTAATTCACATTTAAAAATGGTCAAATTGTTTGATTGTTTTTCAATTTCATTTATCCAGAATACCATTTGAATTTTATTGTACCTAAAGACTTCAATTATATCTAAAGTTTTTTTTTGTTTCATCATATCTAGTGTAAATTTTGTTATATCAAGAGTACCTTTTTTGCCTAGAGTACCTTCTAAAATTCCATTATATTTAAAATCGGTTCTGATTATTACCTAGAGAACACACATTTAATTATATCCAGAGTACCATTTGACATTTTATTGTACCTAGTGTATCTTCTAACATTTCATTATATCTTAAGTGCCTTTTCACACTTTATTATATCAAGAGTACCTCTTCACATTTTATTGTACCCAGAATACCTTTTCACCTTTTATTATAACTAGAATATCTTCTAACATTTCATTATATCTAGTACCTTGTATTTTTGTTATAATGCTACAGCTTGACAATTCATACAGCTTTCAGAAATTATTTTCTTTTAAATATGGTCATAATGCTCTTGCAGAAAGTTACAGCCTGTAATAATTGCCACAAAAATATATAGGCGAAGCTTTGAGGAACTTAAGTATAAGATTATATGAAATAAAAGAGATCTTATGCAAAGTAACATGCTCAATACGTTAGTCATTCATCATAATGAATCTGACCATGAGTTTTTTACAGTTTATCAACCCTTCATCAATTATTTAAAACTAAAACATATTTTGGATTGTAAGAATAATTTTTTTTTTGCCAGTGAATATTGCATTAACAGTTTTTTTGAGAATAACAATGATTTTTACAGTTAGAAGTCCTACTATTTAACCCAAAGATGAGGGGAGGAGATAGATTCTTACCTTTCCAAAAAAAATTTCTGCATAAGTGTCAAAGAGCAGCTCTGATGTGGTCAAAATTATGTGTGCACAACCATCTACTATATATTTGTTAAATGACTGGTAATTAAAAGACCAATATGATTTTTTAAAAATTATATTAGGAATGTTCCATATGTGAGAAAAACCTTTTCAGCCTTAAAACAATGATGTATTTGTAGATCCCAGACATTCTAAATAATCTATTTTTTTTACAATAATATTTACCCTATACAAGGCCAAAGAGCTACTCAAGGTAGAGAGGCATCATTTATGAGGATATGTGTAGAAGATAATGGTTAACCCTAAACTTGAACTGGTTAAGATTGTAGAATCTTATTGAGAGTTGGTTCCACAAAGTAGCAGTTCATAGCAAGAAGCTGTTCAAGTAGAATTTACATCTCACCAATGGAATGCAAAGAGAATGAGAGTGGTTGGCTACAATGGGCGTGGCATGGTGGGTCTTAGCCGTGAAGGTTAGAACTGGTGGAACTAAGGAATGTAGTTCGTCTGAGCACTTTCCATGGAAATAAAGATAGAGTAATTCAATGCTTGCAATGTTTCATCTGCGGGAAAGTATTTGTAGGGTGGGAAATCATTCATCACCCACAAGACCGCATAGACACTTTTGGGTGCTGTTGAGACTGGAAAGTGAAGACTGGGCAATGAACACAAAACGACAAACCTTTTAAGAAAGGAGGACAGAGCCTTAGTGAATTCATATTGTTTGATTCATTCATTTTCTACCACTTATCAACCCTTTGCAGCTTATTTAAAGCCAGAAAATATTTTTAGATTGTAAGAATTGGAGGGGGAGATAATAATGTTTTAGTGACATAATTCTTACTAATTAATTCATAGCTGGGAGGGAGAAGAGGTGGATTCCCGCCTAATCAGAATTTGACAAACAAGAAATTATAATGTGGAAATACAGTGTGGAAAGGGACTGTCAATGGAGTTCCGACCAGCCATAGGGAGGTCATAGGATGATGATGATAATGATGATGAAAGACAAAATATTTTTAGATTGTAAGAATTATTATTTTTTTAGATAATAATGGTTTAGTGATACAAGTCTTACTAATTAACCCATAGCCTGAAGGAGAAGTGGTGGATTCATATGTTTCCCTAGGGTATTTGCGCATAAGTGAAACCATGAACAATTCTGTTATATCATGGATAATACGATATAATCAACCAGGTAATCCCAAGTGGAAAGATTACACTAACACAGGAATTAGGTAAAACAATAACAATGTTTTATTGTATGGAAAGTACAATGGGTAAGTTTGTAAATATAACAATCAGTAAAACAGGAGATATGTCACGGAGATCGTAGTCATCCTTTTTACGCCTACAACAATAGTTTGTCACGTCTTTTATTCTCCCAGTCACGTCTCTTCTAGACTGACCAATCACTGTTGGGGTGTGTTAGGTTGTTCCACTATAACAAATTCTAAGCCATTATCCAATACACTACTAACACACCCAAGTTTACAGCACCTGGTATTCCCAAGTGGTCACTCATCCAAGTACTGACCAGGCTTGACATTACTTAACTCTGGTGACTGTATGGGAACTGGTGTTTCAACATGTTGATTAATGCATCTTCTTTACAATTGAAAAGAAACAAATATATTCTGGTTATTTAACTTTTTTCACGTTTAGCATATAAATAAAAGAAAACACGAGTAATTATTTATTTGTACCTTCACTAAGGTAAGCAGGGAAATTGTGCTGATGCAAATAAAATGAATTATGTCAACCTTCAAGATTAAATATCCTGATTCAAACAGGATTTGGAATTTTACTTACATATTTACAAAGCTGAGCTGCATTGAAGTTGCCATCTTGGGTCACTTAGTAAGAACTAATTTTGCTAGTCATAGTTATGTGATAATATCTTTCTTAGCAACAGGTATTTATATACCAACAAGGACTGACCATAGTTGGTATCATAGAGCCATTATGAACTCCAAAATCCTTTCATTAGTTGTATATAAAAGAGGGTGCGGCAAAAGTAATACCCTTTTATTAGTTATTAATTGTTATTGAACAAATAAACTACGGTAGTTTAAGAAAATTCATATGTATTAAAACAACATGATTTGTTATGATTAAAAAACTATTTAAAATATTCAAAATGCTCCCCTTTATGTTCAATATAACACTGAACCCGATCAGCAGCACTTCTACAAACCATTTGTTACATTTTTACATGAATTTCAGAAAATTTATCAGAAATTGCTTGTTTTAATTCAAGAACTGTTTTCGGTTTGAGTTTGTAAACAAGATCCTTCAGTACACCCCACAAGAAAGTATCTGTTGATATTAGGTCTGGTGATTGTGATGGTCACTCAATTGTTCCCCATCTTCCTATCCACCACAGCTCAAAATTAGATTTAACTATTCCTAAATGTGTAAGCCATAATTAATCTGAAGCCATTTTAAACTATTGTAATTTATTTTTGTTCAATAAAAGTTAATAAATAAAAAAAAGGTGTTATGTTTACCACACATTGTATAAACTTTGTAAGGTCTATATATGGTTTTTAAATTCAAAATTGTTCTTTTTGAAGACTGGTTGCCAACAAAGGCTGAAGAGCTCTGTTTACTGTACTATTTAACCCACATGGAATTTGACACTGCAACTTTTCAATCTGACCTGTGATCCATTAAACCACCTGCATATTCACTGAATGTGCATTTATATAAAATATATACTAAATTTAGCTTAGTCTGACACAAGGCCAAAAAATTTGAGCATCCAATAAAGATTAAACAGAATACATGAATAATGATTACTGAGACTAGGTATTTACTCTGTCTCCCTACTAAGACAGGTTGTGACACAAGGTCTTTTTTAAGGTGGAGACCCGAGCACATACACTCAGGCCAGGAACAAACATTGCCTGCAGCCCTTGTAACCATCGGTTGTGTTGGCCTCAGTGCAAGCACCAATCCCTCTCTCTGGTGCAATGAGAGGGTGTGGCCTCGTGCAGCTGTTCCCCAGGGCTGAGCACCTCTAAGTATAATTTTCCTCAGTTACGACTCTGTCCTTTGCCCGAGTGCACTCTGCCCAAGGACAGAGATGAAACTGAGAGATGATAAATAATGTGTTACAAACCTCTCAAGAGAAAGGTTTACACACTCTTATTTAGACTAAGTGGCTACCTGCCCTGTCAATTGCAATCAAGAATATACCCACTGATTCTCCATGCAGAGGGGTAAACCTCCACAAAAAGTGGGGCCACTTGTTTACTATACTTAAGTTTAATTTTTTACTCCGGTTCAAAGCAAACCTTTGCATATCTTTTCTGGCTCACATACAAACCAAATCTATATTTACCCTATTTACTTTAGTGCAAACCAAACCTACATCTACCTTTTTGATTCTTGTATGAACCAAACCCATATCTCCCTTTTTGACCCCTGTGATAAGCAAACTTTTGACTAACATTTTGATTCTTGTATGAACCAAAACTATATCTACCTTTATGATTCTTGCATGAACCAAATTTTTATCTACCACTATGATTCTTGTATGAACCAAACCTATATCTACCTCTATGATTCTTGTATGAACCAAAACTATATCTACCTTTATGATTCTTGTATGAACCAAATTTTTATCTACCACTATGATTCTTGTATGAACCAAACCTATATCTACCACTATGATTCTTGTATGAACCAAACCTTTATCTACCTTTATGATTCTTGTATGAACCAAATATTTATCTACCTTTATGATTCTTGTATGAACCAAAACTATATCTATCTTTATGATTCTTGTATGAACCAAACCTTTATCTACCTCTATGATTCTTGTATGAACCAAACCTTTATCTATCTTTATGATTCTTGTATGAACCAAACCTTTATCTACCTCTATGATTCTTGTATGAACCAAACCTTTATCTATCTTTATGATTCTTGTATGAACCAAACCTTTATCTATCTTTATGATTCTTGTATGAACCAAACCTTTATCTACCTTTATGATTCTTGTATGAACCAAACCTTTATCTACCTTTATGATTTTTGTATGAACCAAACCTTTATCTACCTTTATGATTCTTGTATGAACCAAACCTTTATCTACCTTTTTTATTCTTGTGCAAAACAGACCTATACCTAATTTTTCTGGCTCTCATGCAAACTAAACCTATGTCTGACCTTTTTAACACTCATGCAAATCAAAGCTATATCTACTTTTTCTGGCTCTCATGCAAACTAAACATATATATATATATATTGTTTTAACTCTTATATGAACCAAACCTATGTTTATGTTTTTGCATTTTCTGCAAAGCAAACCTGCCCCACTCTTTAATGTGCAACGGAATTTGATATGAAATAAGCTGACAAAGGCTGATATACCAAACGACAAATTAAATCAAATTGACTTGTTACCCAAGCACTACAGTAGATGAAATGCATAAATATTGACTAAGCTTTGTTTAGTATGGAAAACTGGACACATTACACTAGTGAATGGTATAAAAAATAACTAGATACTCATCACAGTACAGGGTAGAATTTGTGAAATATTTACTAAGCTTAATTTACGGCCATTATAGAAAAAATTACTGGTGAGAATTAGAAACACTTCAAGAGCCAACAAGTTCTCGATACTCAATGGTATATGCTCTTTGTAATTTATGGTTAATAGAATGAAAGGCTGAACTGTTTCTAATCATGTACAGATTGTATCCGCCATATCAAAAACTTTCTTTTTAAATTAATTTTTGGCTGGTGTCATTTTCTTTTTTTATATTGTTGTCTGGGTCATTTGTTTAGCTTCTGGGTCAGTTGCACACACCCAGAAGGTTTAGAGCAGCTGCACTGTAAAAAAATAGGAAATAAAAGGATGCGAGGAAGAAATGCAAAATAAAAGACTTTTCCAGGCAAAATTAAAAAATAAACTTCTTTTATATATATATATATATATATATATATATATATATATATATATATATATATATATATATATTTTCATAGGAAAACCTCAATACATTATTAAAAATAGTTTGGTAATAATTTATTTCAGATACATGAGGCAGTTGTTTGTCTGAAATAAATTATTACCAAACTCTTTAATGATGTATTGAGCTTTTCCTTTGATGTATATTATATTGCTCTGTATTTTGATACATTGAGCTCTCTCCATGGATGGATCTATCTTTTAATATTTCATATTAAAAAGACCTACTTTAGATTATTCTTACCACTTACGGATTTAATATTATGATATTTACATATATATATATATATATATATATATATATATATATATATATATATATAGTTAAAAATCAAAAAAATTTTTTAAATCCCTAACTCTAAAGGTAATTTACATTAACCAGAAACAAAAGCTTAGACAGAAGCATCTATCTTATTAAATTTGGATTTTTTAATGTAACTATAACAACAAAAACATTTAAATTTTATTTTTGCCTTGAAAAAGTTGGAAGACGAAATGCGTCGGCAAAATCTAAGATTTTTTTTCCAATTGTCATTTTATACCATATATATATATATATATATATATATATATATATATATATATATATATATAACGGATACAATAATACAGACATAATGAACACCCAGACACCCCTTGTCCAGTTGAAGTAGATTTATCTGTTTCCTTGGAAACATGAATTATGATTTTAGCTGTGTCTTTAAAACCCAGTAATTTTAAAAGTTACTCCAAAATTCGCTTTAGGATGAAATGGAATTAATGTCTTTAATTTAATTACAAAATTAAATTCGTAGCTTTTAGCTTCCATTTTTGAAACATGGTTAGAACTGTGTAGCGAAAAAAAACATATTTTAAATAAATCAATTTATAATATATATATATATATATATATATATATATATATATGTATTAGAATGAATTTTAATTAATCAGACTGATTTGTTATCACTTTAAACTTCATTATTAGTGGATACACTTATTTGATCAGATGTTCCATTTATATATTAAACAGTATATTTATTTATTTTCACCTACCAGTCTGAATGTTCAAGAAATCTTATCAAAGGAAAATTTGCACTCTTTGGCAGGAATTGAACCTGTGTCCATCAGAGTTTAACAGTGGCTATCTCTACTCTGATGGATGCAGGTTCACTTCCTGCCAAAAAGTGCAAATTTTTCTGCAATCAAATTTTTCAAATATTCAGGCTGGGAGACGAAAATAAATATAATGTTTAATATATAAACGGATCCACTGCTCAAATATAAGTATCCACTAATAATAATGTTTAAAGTGATGAAAAAAAATATATATATCCAGGGTGGCCAATTAAAGACTGAATGATATAAAACAAAAATAACTTTTACAAACACATGAATATCTTGGGGTAGTAAAGTTTGGATCATTTGAATCTTGTTGGTTTGGTTTGGTTTGTTGTGTTTTACGGCATATCAACCTCAATGGGTTATTTAATGTCGACAACATTTTTTTTTCTGGTAATATTTTGTTTTGTCAAAAATCTATTTCTGGTAATATTTTTTTCCTCGAAAATGTATAGGAGGTAATATTATTTTAAAATATGTATTGCTGGTAATTGTTTTTTTTC